AACCCCCCCACCATCCCTTCCTTCTCTCTCTCTCTCTCTCTCTCTCTCTCTCTCTCTCTCTCTCTCTCCTCTCTCGCCTGTCTTCATGTCGTGGATTGATGAACGCGAATCGCGTGTAAGCGCCGCCACCGCCGGGAGTCTGAGGAATTCGCCTGGGCTGTTAAAGGACGCTCCCGGGGGGAGGGGAGTTTCGGGGGTACCGGGCGGGGGAGTCTCGAGCCAGAGGGGAGGGGGCGGCGGGTTTTCATGTGCCCAGCATGAGCTCCTACTTCGTCAACCCCCTGTTCTCCAAATACAAAGGCGGCGAGTCCCTGGAACCGGCCTATTACGACTGCCGGTTCCCCCAGAGCGTGGGCAGGAGCCATGCGCTGGTGTACGGGCCCGGCGGCTCGGCGCCCGGCTTCCAGCACGCCTCGCACCACGTCCAAGACTTCTTCCACCACGGCACCTCGGGCATCTCCAACTCGGGCTACCAGCAGAACCCGTGCTCGCTGAGCTGCCACGGAGACGCCTCCAAATTCTATGGCTACGAGGCGCTCCCCAGACAGTCCCTTTATGGGGCTCAGCAAGAGGCGAGCGTGGTGCAATATCCCGACTGTAAATCCTCCGCCAACACTAACAGTAGCGAAGGACAAGGCCACTTAAATCAAAACTCGTCTCCCAGCCTCATGTTTCCATGGATGAGACCCCACGGTGAGAAGCCTTTTCTCTTTCCCCCTCGGTCTCCCGCGCTCCGGGGTCTCCCCCTCCCTTGCCTCCTTTTTGTCTGTCCTGGCTTTCCCTCCTGGCTTTGGGGTCTCCCCGGCCCCACCTAGGTGCCTGAGTGGGTTTCTGGAGGTTGGGAGGTTCAGCTGGGGGTGAGGCACGGGGTTTGCCTGGGATACTGGGGGGACTGGGGTGAAGGAGGAAAGGTGGTGTCTGGGTGCAAAGGGTTAAAAATCGTTTTCTCACCTCTGTCTGTCTGTCCGTCTCTCCCTCTGACCATCTCTAAGATCAAAGTTGGTGAGGTGGCTGGGAAGGGGCCTGAGGACCCTAGGTTATCAGCCTTTGGAGCAATCAGGGTCTCCATAAGGCACAGAGCCTCCGTCCAGGACAGTGGGCAGGCTTTCCTGGGGTGAAGGGAGACCCCTGTCTCCCTCCCCTGTCTGGGCCAGAGGGTGGTAAGACCCCAAGAACAGGTGCTCTGGCTCTCTGGGGGCACCCCCTGCCTTCTGTCAGAGAGCTGGCCTTAGGGCCACTACCCCAACTTTGCTGCACTTCCCTCCATTGCAGAGGAGAGAGGAAGCCAGAGAGGAGAGAAGAGTGCTCTCAAGGAGGGACCAGACAGATTGGAGGGCTCTGAGGTCCTGGAGAGCCTAGCCAACCTACCCCTAGTCAAAGGCTAGTTGAATCTCCTGGAGACCCTAAGAGTGACGCAGGTCATGTGCCCCTCAAAGGGTGGCCCCTCCTGGCCCAATTTCGAAGTAAAAGGGGAAGCGAGAAAGCGACAAGTTCCAGCGGGGATGGCCCGTGATTTATTTGCTGGTCTCCAGTTAGCAATCAGGCCAAGCAGTGATACATTCCAGGAGATCAATTATTTTCCTTCCTGGCAAAGCCTTAGTCAGAGAGATTTGATGAGGAGACAGTGAGCAAAGCCCCTCTTCTTTACCCCCAGACCTTTTTCCTTTTTGGGGGGAAACAGACTGTCCCCAGCCCTGCTCGCCAAATGCCACTCTGCACTTGTAAACAAAGCTGCAAGGGCCCTTTTCCTGGGACTGC